GGGCGGGAGGGCGGCCACAGCATCCAAGAGCTCTTAGCAAACTGTGACGCTCTGTATGGTGTCCTGCCCAGCTCACTGACATCACCGGTTGCATAGAGCTGAGCGGGACACTCTGGCTTGCATCCCGTTCAGCTCCTGGCAACCAGTGACATTAGTGAGCTGGGCAGCATGCCAGACAGATCACTGACCTGCAGTCCAGCATCCGCCACTGCCCTACATGGTCCTATATAGAGCCATCCCTATGGTAATCACCATACATGCTGATTACCATAGGGATGGCCTTATGACCCTGCACTGTTATACTGTATGTTGTCCAGTGTGCAGACACAAGGCCAGTACTTCTAGGTTTAAAATAGAGCTTTAGTCAAAATGTGCTTCAGTTTGGTCAAAATATATTTATCTGCCAGGTTTTTGGATGCAATAAAAAGCAAAAAAAGGTGAGGATAAACCTAAAATGTTGGCATTGTCAAAGGAACAGAAACAAAAGGGATTTTTTTGATCCAGCGACAACTGTTCAATTTTTTATCTTTCTTTTATGTAATAAAACCACATGATCCTCCACCATAATAACACCAGGCAGCCATGGCAAGGAGGTAGCAGGGGTTTATAAACACCCTTCTTTTAGATGAAATTTGAGTAAAGTCAGGGAAATTATTTGGGATTTTTGGAGTAAGATCTCCTCTACATACTCTTTTATCGTTATATGTTACTGAATTCAGCACTTTGTTAGTCAGCTCAATAAATATGTCTGTTAGGTTCTCAATCATCCAGGCCATGAGATAACTAGCAGTAGTTAGTCACATTCAACTGAATTTGTTCTGTAATCTTGAAGACGTTTCATAAGCTTATCCAAAGCCATTTCTTCAGTTCTAAAGAGTAATAGTAACATACCCCAAAAGACAGGTAGCACAAACACCTAATCAAATTCCACATATAATGCAATTTGAACATCTCTACCCTGGTGTTTTGAAAATTAACAGACTTTCTGACTCCAAGGATGGAATTAAGTAACTAGAACATGATGGTTCCACAACTTGCACACCTCTTGTCCAACCTGGACAATCAAAGTCTGCCTTGACACAGTCCACGGTGATTAGATTAAGATGTTTGTGCTACCTGTGTAGATATAACTACTGACACTCATTACAATGGAAGAGGTGCCTTGGAGAAGCTACGAAACATCTTTAACATTACAGAACAAGCCCAGTTGAATGTGACTACCTGCTACTACCCCATTAAATATGAACCTTTGTTCTCCTTCCGTAGACAGCTTTTCTTGTTTCCGTACAAAGTGCATTAATAAGGGAAATTCTCACCAGAACAGGTTTCCCACAGTTGGCACAAGTCACATGACTTATCTGTTGTGGGGAATTTGCAGTTTTCATCTGCAGTCAGTGTGTATTTCCTTCCCAGGCATTCGAGTGTGTGCATTTTACAGACTGTAAGAGCTATGTTCCTGCTGTTCCGGCCATCTATAGCACAAATATTCAGAGAGGAGCTGAAAAGCAAATAGATATTATAAAAATGCAGGGTCCGCTTTAAAAGGAATCTGTCAGGGAATAAATATGAGAGCTGACATTGCTGAGTCAATCAGAGGAACTTGGGTTATCTGAGCCTGACAATTGCTTCCCTCTCAACCACATAACCTCACACATTTAATAGTCAGAGAATGAAAGACAGCGAGGTTGATTTATAGTGACCCTAAACTCAGGAGTTAAATCTGGAAAATGCATTCAAAGACCTTAACTATTAACAAAATGTATCTTATTTGTGTGTCACTCGGCTGTAGATCCTCCCTTCTATGATGGACTACAATCTCCTATTGAGTTAGCTAATTTGTATTGAAATTATAGTTTTCAATGGGAGTGAGCTTGGAAACATTTTTGAATGAAATCCCACTGGTTTATGGCCAGCTTAAGCCTCAGGCTCATCCAAAGTAAGTAAAGCTAGTCCACAAAGTATCCGGTCACGCCAGGATAAAATGGGCATATTATATAGATATAATCATATTACCTACATTTAGGGTTACCACCTGGCTGGTATTTTACTGGTCAGGCTGAAAAATTAGTCTTGTTGCCAATCTTATTATTAGAAAATATATCATAAAGTCGGTATTTGGTCTTAGAAAAGGTTGCACACCTACCCGCATTCAGCAGGCATCTTACAAGTGCACTTAGATTCCTGGACTTTTTCCCAAGGTTTACATTTTGTTTCATCTGTTTTCGGGATGGCTGCAAGAGTAGAAATATAATCACAAAATAGAGGTTACCAACATCTTTTTGGTTTTTGTTTCACACGCCTTTCCATTTGTTCTCACATTCACATGCAGATCAAGCTATCCAGGAAAAGTGACAATGACAAGTGTTGAAAAACGAAATCACCAGGGGTGCTTAAATCAGTCACTGTTTATTCACATGCTCTAAAATGAATTTTAAACAATATTGTTGTAATGGCTTCAGCACCCACTAGCAGTGTTCTAGTTTATCTCAAGCCCCTTCACTGTTTCGTTTTCACTGATATATGGTCAGAGTTAAAGCAGAACCATGAGGTGAGTGAAAACCACTCATCATAGTTCGAGCCGACGTGTGACAATGAAACTGTCACACGTCAGCTCAACAGATCGGGAAGTGAGAGAACACATACCACCGTCGCTCGCTCACTTCTCGATCATGTTCCTGCAGAGTGCCACGACTGTCAGTCACCACTCCCCGCAAGGATTCCCCCCTCCCCTCGCTGATCCTCCAGCGCTGACTGGAGGAACGCACAGGGGAGGGGACGGGTACAGCTGGCTCTGCCTCTAGATAGGCAGAGCCAGCTGTCATTCAGCACCCACTAGCAGTGTTCTAGTTTATCTCAAGCCCCTTCACTGTTTCGTTTTCACTGATATATGGTCAGAGTTAAAGCAGAACCATGAGGTGAGTGAAAACCACTCATCATAGTTCGAACCGACGTGTGACAATGAAACTGTCACACGTCAGCTCAATAGATCGGGAAGTGAGAGAACACATACCACCGTCGCTCGCTCACTTCTCGATCATGTCCCTGCAGAGTGCCATGACTGTCAGTCACCACTCCCCGCAAGGATTCCCCCCTCCCCTCGCTGATCCTCCACTGGACTGGAGGAACGCACAGGGGAGGGGACAGATACAGCTGGCTCTGCCTCTAGATAGGCAGAGCCAGCTGTCATTCATGCAGCTGGGTGGATCTCGGCAGCATTGTCGGGATCCGTCCCGGCTGCGGCGGTCTCAGTATAAGCTGAGCTGTAGCTTGTGATATACTGAGCTTTGGGTCACGGGAGGATGCTAGTATACAGGTGAAACTCGAATAATTAGAATATCGTGCAAAGTTCATTTATTTCACTAATGCAACTTAAAAGGTGAAACTAATATATCACACTCACTTCTCGATCATGTCCCTGCAGAGTGCCATGACTGTCAGTCACCACTCCCCGCAAGGATTCCCCCCTCCCCTCGCTGATCCTCCACTGGACTGGAGGAACGCACAGGGGAGGGGACAGATACAGCTGGCTCTGCCTCTAGATAGGCAGAGCCAGCTGTCATTCATGCAGCTGGGTGGATCTCGGCAGCATTGTCGGGATCCGTCCCGGCTGCGGCGGTCTCAGTATAAGCTGAGCTGTAGCTTGTGATATACTGAGCTTTGGGTCACGGGAGGATGCTAGTATACAGGTGAAACTCGAATAATTAGAATATCGTGCAAAGTTCATTTATTTCACTAATGCAACTTAAAAGGTGAAACTAATATATGAGATAGACTCATTACATGCAAAGCAAGATAATTCAAGCCGTGATTTGTCATAATTGTGATGATTATGGCTTACAGCTCATGAAAACCCCAAGAACCCCAAATCCACAACCTCAGAAAAGTAGATTATTACATGCAATCAATAAAACAAGGATTGTACATAGAACAATATCGGACCTCTGAAAAGTACAAGCATGCATATGTACTCAGTACTTGGTTTGGGCCCCTTTTGCAGCACTTACTGCAATTACTTTTGCATGATATTCTAATTATTCGAGTTTCACCTGTATGTCCTCCTGTGACACTTAAGAGAACTATGGGGAAAAACACTTACCCCATAGTTTTTTTTTAAGGTAGAAAAAACAATAGTCATCTTGATCAATCTGCTCACTTACAGGAACAATACAAGTGCCTTGGGTGGGACTGAGTTGAAAATATAAAAAACAGCTTCAAGAAGGGATTAGACAAATGCGCTGGTAAAACGAGAAAACTTTAGACATCTAAAAAAAACTGTAGAAAACTCCTCCATCTTAAATCTGAGTTTCCACAGCTGACTTCTCAATGTAATAAGAAAAAGAGAGAGGCCCTGTTTAACACAACACACTTGTGCCCCATTATTTTATGGTTTGTGTATGGCCAAGAATGGCTCCGCTTCACATGTATTAACAGTGCTTTACATAAGAGTTCATTTGGGCTGTGTAATCCCCTACAGAATAAGCAAATACAGCATCATAGAGGGTCAGAGGAAGGACAGTAGGAGGACACTCTGGTTGCACTGTATAATCTTCTCTCCTTTTTGCCTCCCGAATTATCAATCATACTTTCAAGGCAGGATGGATCTCATTGGTGTTATACCATTTATTCAGACATCTTTTACATTGTATAGATTGTTAAAGCATTATGTGCTGATATGTTCCAGGATCACCAGCTAGAAGGGGGTATGGGGGACTGGACTAAAGTACAGCCTTTCATGAATAACATTCTGAACTACATAACATGTAGACTGGGTTCTTCATTCAAGTCTTATTCTTTCAATTTTATTTTTTAAATCCTCAGGCTTCTAGATAACACAGCTACGATAAGGATGTTTTCGGATGATTTCAGATATGTTATATTTCGGAAATTCGGATGCTCCGAATCTAAAAAAATTCCGAAATTTCGTCCGAATTTTGATTCGGAACGAAACGAATCGCACATGTCTAATAAAGAAATTTGAAGTTTCCAATGTGCATATCTAAATATTGACTAAATATTTTAAGGTACATATAATTTTTTATTTTGGTATACTAAACTCTGCTGTTTTAATTAAAAGCAGAAAATTGTGCAAATTTACAAATATATATTTTTTACCCTTTTTGTACATTTTTTAAAAACTGTATTATTTTTATTTTTACAAGTGTATCTGACAGTTGAATATTAAATACATGGCACTTCAGATGAACAGTGCAGCCTGAAGGTGGCAATATTCATCTACAGGCGTAAGGTTTCATTTTTGTCAAGGGAGCCTTTGGCCTCCATGTGATCATAGTGATCACTTGATTGGGAACCACTATTATTGCTTCCCAATGGTCAATGTGGACTTGGTTGACACTGACAGCTGGAGTTAAGAAGGTATATCTGCAGGAAGTATGTCTGTGTTGCTGAACATTGTCAGCAGGACAGGAAAGTAAATCTCTCTAATTTTTTTTCTATTAGAAAAAAATTTTTGGCTGGACATACATGATCATTTTAAAGTCTGTACAACCTTTAAGAGCCCTTTCCCACTGGTATTCCCATCATGTCTGCCTGTCAGTTTTTCAGGTGGATCTGATCGGAAGCCCGATGTTAGTCTATGGGCAGCCGGATCTAAACAGACGTGCATCCGTTTACATCTGGTTAACCTCAACTCCAGCCAGGTCCGGAAAGCCAAACAGAACAGAGTTCAGTTTTGGCAAACCTGATAGTGGCCGATTGGGGGTAATCTGATTTAAATGGACATATCTGACTCCCCAAAGACCAACATTTGTCTGGTAATTTCATTTTCTTCTTCTATCACAACATGGAGAAATGGTGACATCCATTCCGAACTGCTCTGATCAGCATGGTATCCATGCTGAAGACGCCAGTGTGAAAGAGGCCTAAGGCAGTTATGAAGGTAACGCAAATAGTTGTCTATGTGCCATTATTCAAAGTTTTGTTCACTTTATCCGGAATGTAGCAAAACATTATCTGGCCATTAAGCAACAAGTTAGACTAAATAAGGAATGTCCAGGCAAATGATACGTCAGGCAAAATAATAATTACATCATGTACCCCACTTCACCTTTTCTTGTACATTGGATGTCTTTTATATCAGGATTCCAGGTCAGGCTTGAACTGCATGACACGACTTGTGGACCTTGTAAATCCAGGCCTTGTTGGCATGAGAGTTTTATTTTATCTCCAACCTGGTAGGAATCCTTTTCCGGGGAAATTGCAAAGCTGCTTGGAAGCCGAGGAAAAGAACACATAAGTCCTGCAAAAATATATTTAAACAAAGTCATTACCATGTTGAATACAGTTTGTGCAGATATAAGAAGGCTTTTATGTTATTAATATTAATATATACTTAATTCATGTTATTATTGGAGTATAGTAAGGTGTCGGAGAGACTGACTGGAAAATCTAGATAAATACGTTTAAAAGAAGAACTTCACTTTCGTTTAAAATTTAATATAGCATGTAAAATTACTGTACATTTTGTAATTGAATTTTATACAAATTATCTTTCCATTTCAATCTGTAGTGACTGTAATTTTCTACATTTTTTCTTAATAAATTCAATGCAATATGGCAAGCTGGAGGCATTCTTTACAACAATGGTGCACAGAATGCACCCAGAAATGCCATTTCCTGATTCTGTGATTGGCTCACAGATTTTCAGATGCCTGTACTGAGATACAAGCCAAATTTTTGGCATCCCCTGCAATAGGAATTTTTATTTTTGGTGAAATACGGGTTACTTATTTCTAAAGAGATGCAGACAGTGCAACATTTCTCATCAGAACACTGAAGCAGACCCTCCTATTCAGGAATCAATCAAAGAGAAATGGCTTTGTGGGATCTGTTTCAGGGAGAGGAGGACGCCTGCGAGAATTAGGGATAAGGCAAATAAACTGCTTTTTAATGGTACCCTAGACCAGTGTTTCTTATCCTTTTTTATAGTCAGGGCACCCTTTAAAGGTATGCAAAATCTTGAGGCACCCCAGTTTAAAATGCCAACGGAAAAAAGGAAAAAAAACTTCCCGTGTATCATAGATAAGCATGCACATAAATATTAACATTGCACTACAGCGCCATCTACAGCTCAAAAGACAAATGACAGTCAGTATATGCTGTTGCTTTTCTACCAGTATCCACTATTGCTGACCACTAACTGACACCTAATGCAATGTTGTATAGAGGCCTTCATTTAGGGGTCTCAGGAAGCTTGTAGCTCATATATAGCCATTGTTCTGCAGGGTCCAGATCCTATTCTTTATGTGTGCATATCATTATAATAACTGGTTTAGGAAGTTAGTAGTTAACAGTCACCTTCCCGAGCTTACAGATATGTGTATAATAATTTTCAGAATACTAAATAAGTCAAGTTATAACAATGGGGGCAATGCCTCCCACCCAAAAAAAGTCATATGAATACACAAATAGAAGGAATATCTTTCATCAGAACATGTTATATACAAGTAAAGTATATCTACTTACTTTGGCATTCCCTGGCACCAACATGCCACTGGAGGTCTTCTTTACATTCAGCAACAGCCTCACCCACCAGTGTGTACCCACTATTACACGTGTATACAATACGTTTGCCAACATAGTACGAATTGTCGTCATCCTGTTGGAAGGAATTTAGAGGCTCAGTCACTGCTTTCTAGTGATATGAGTGTTAGGCATGTCTTGAGCATGGACAGCTAAAACTGGGGCCTACAGTGGTAAAATGCAGAAGCAGAGGTTACCTTCAGTGGGATGTAAGGATGCTGACTGGAGAAGATAGCAGAGAGAAGATCTTATCAATGTGCTGCTATTCTTTAATTATTCAGTTAACAGGCACGAGGAGTGTTCTTGACCAAACTTTTTTGCTGTTGAAGTTGAAGTCAACTACCTGACTATGCTGTCTGCATAGCAAGACTGGCACAAGAGAAATACAAATCTTTTGGCTGGTTGAGCAATTTGTTTATTACAGGTATTTATATAGCGCTGACAATTTACACAGATCTTTAGTCCCTGTCCTCAAGGAGCTTACAATCTACGGTCTCTATCTCACATACATACAGGGCCAATTTACCTTCCAGCATGTCTTTGGAGTGTGGGAGGAAACCCACAAAAGCACATGATCCAGCGCTGACTCCTTGGGTCCCACGTTGTCTGTCTGACGTGCACGCCCCTGGCTGCGTGCACTGACTTACACAGTGTCTCTCCTCAGGGCCGGATTTACTCTCCCTGCCGCCCCAAGACCAGGTTCCGCAATTCCGCAATTTTAACATCTCTCACCCTGCATCTTTAAATTTCCATGTCCATTTAGTCCTTATAAATACCTCCACATAGATGAGAACAATATTCACAAACATTTCCTGTATACCTGTGTCCACATTTAATTCTGCCTTCCTAATATCTCCCATTGTAGTCACTCATGCAGAAGCACTGAGCTCAGAAACTAATACACAGCTTTTTTTTACTACACCCGCACAGCTCTACCCCCTCATCCCTAATGCCCTGCCCACCTCCCCACCCACCTCTCTACTATGTCTGCCTCTCCTACAGCCTGGAGTGCAGCTGTATGTGACATGTGGTGTCATTGCGGGAGGTGACCTGGATTGAGATGATCCAGAAGCTGTTACTCAGAAGGGGCATGGATAAGCAGTGTTTTAAAAGTAATGTAATATTTTGGAGCATAATAATCTTTTTATTTATTTCACAATTTTTGTTTTGAATAACTATATGATGCTGGTGCCTTTATATCTCCATTAAGACTAACATTAGGTCACATGAATCAATAAGGTATAAGCTAACATTATCAAATTGTATTACTAAAATCAACTGATATGTGGGAACATCAATTTCCTAAGATTGGATCTTTTAAAATTGCTGAAAAAATTAAAATGTCACTTCCTTGAGACCAAGGCCTCCTGTTAGTTCTCTTTACTATATATTGTATGTCTATGAAATGTAGGGATGCACCAATAACGTTTTTTTCAGTATCGAGTACCGATATTTTGCTTTCAGTACTCACATATACCGGTGCTTCCACTGGCATGGAGCCGGCATCCCGGGCAATCAGGCAGCCGGGTGGCGGGTAATGACATGATGCCCGGCTTCCTGATTGCCCAGGAAGCCGGGTCCATGTTATTTGACTGGCTCAATTGTGATTGGCTGGGAAACCAACTTCCCAACCAATAAGGATCGAGCCGACTTCCTGGCCAATCAAGAAGCCGTGCGGCAGGTAATGACCCGGCTCCCGGCTTCCTGATTGGGCAGGAAGCCATCTCCATGCTGATTGGCTGGAAAGCCGGCTTCCTGATTGCCTGGGAAGCTGGCTCCATGTTCCCCTAGGCACTGCCGGTCAGAGGAAATCTTCCTCTGACCGGAAGTTCCGGTATCAGGGAAGGTATCGGAGCATTTGGGCGAGTACGAGTAAAGACAAACAGACAATGTTATGGTGTAATTTGGCAGCTTTGGCTGCAGTCACTGTTCAGCTGACAATTTTCCACCCGGAGCCTTACATTATTTAATTGAAGTTGTTGCACTCAGTAGTGCCAGCATGGTCGCCCTCGGCTCAAATATTGGCCAATTCAGGAGGAATTGGCTGGAATTGGAGCCATGTATGGCCAGCTTAAGACATTAAGAGTAAACAAAACAGCTGTGCTTACCAAGATATAGCCATTCACCAGAGTAGGGGGAAGAGGGCAGAACTCAGTCGGCAAAATTTGGATATCAAAGCAGTGAGGTTCCACAGTTCTGCAGACAAGTGAAAATAATGAATGTATTACTCATAGTTACCATTTATTAACATACACTTACTGTTTATTATTATTATTATTGTTATTATTATTATTATGATGATGATGTTATAACATTATGCCAGCACAAACAATAATTTGCTTAAAGTGAATATTTCATTTGTCCATGAACATAACAGACAAGTGAAAACCTAATACCTAATGTAATACACAATGTATTATTATATAACACAAATGGAATGCAGCACTCACTACATAAAAGATATTTAGTTTTTCTTCCATATACATTGACAGGCTTTTGTTATTAAAGTGTTTCCTAATATAATTATGTTGAGAAACGCTGTTCTGAACAATCACTATCCTCAGACATGTGAATCATTTTCAATACTTTTGGACATAAAGAAAATGCTAATCCATCAGGATCCAAGAATAAAATATTCAGCGCTAGCGGCAAGGATGGCAGAGACAGAACAAGTGACCTTTGTATAAATTTGCCTAATATTCATCAGTAATAAGCCAGCTCCTAATTTTGCAGATGATAAAAGTCAACATCCACTTGGTGATAAAGTGACATTGACAGTTGTCAGAACAGGTGAGTGTTTTGTCAAGGATACGACATTTGAGAAGAACAAATATTAACACATGGCAGATGCAGGCTGATCGCCCGAGAGCCGTAATCAGATTGTGTGCATGTTTCTGTTATTACCTCATTTATATTGCTTTCCCTTTTTTTTATATGATTTTGGCAAAGCACATCATTCATTCAATACAGAATCTATTGGGCAGGGCAATGAAGAAGGTGAACCTAGGAAAGTTTCAGTGTAACATGTGATACACACACAGCAAAGGCTGGTACCAAAAAGTATCCCTGACCTGTAAAGGTGGGTCTGAACTCAAAAAGTGAAGATTTCCTATGTTACTGGTAATATCTAGAAATGTTAATTGTGTCTATGCCATACCCTGAAAATTTACCTTTTGACTTAAATTCCTTATAAAAATAACAGCGCACCTCCTGTTATGTGAGGATGCCTAAGGACTTCCAAGCTTATAGCACAATAGTGTTGTATCTTCATAGTGAGATCTAAGGCACTGCTGCCTATAGTCTCAGGAGATTTGGTCATGACATCACTGCTGTTTGCTAAAGAGAAATCTATATGGCAAAAATGTTCTTGCTTTTGCGTCATTCATTCAGTGGATCTATGCATTGTGGACCTCTCCTGGTGCTTGAATATTTCCTCACAAGTTATCAGACCACCGGTCATTGGGGGACAGCTGTTACATGGGGAAGCAAAGCCCTGCCTCCACCACGATGGCCACCTCCATACAGAGACACAGTGTAGAACCAGGCATGGAAGATCAGCTGCAGGGAGAGCACAGGCAATGCTGATCATTTGCTCCCTGCTTGCCTTTCTTCAGCACACCTTCCAAAGTTCAGATCCTCCTTAAATCTAGTGTAAGATCATAGTATTACAAAGTACACTGAGACACTGTAGCAACTAATCTTCACTTCTGATTTCATACTGCCATTATTGAGTACATAGCAGTGTAAACTCGCTGCCTTTGGCACATCTTAGGCCTCATACGCATGGGTGCACTGGGTCATATATTAAAAACCTCAGGTGTATACGCAGCAGCTACGTATAGTCACCCACAGACATGAATGGCTATACATAGCTCTACACTATTATATGCTGGGACTTGCGTAAAACCCAAGCATATTCCACAAATTCAGTCTTTCTGCATTCTTTTTGTATGTATATACAAGTTTTACACCCGTATGCAAGTCCTGGCATGTAATCACGCACAGCTGCTTACAGCCATTCATGTCCAGGGGTGCCTGTATGCAGCAGCTGCTGCTTTAATCCATTTTTTTAGGGTTTACTTTAATTTTTATTTTTTTAGGGTTTACTTTAATTTACTTTATTTTTAGGGTTTACTTTATATCGCCCCCTTCCACCTGCATGTTACTATGGCAGTGCTAAAGTAGAGTTAGGAATGGTAGGAATTAGTGTTTTCCTGAGATGATGAACAAAGAAAAAAATATATATAAAACAAACCGTAGATGCTCCAGTTCATCTTGCTCACACTTTTGGCTTTCTATCGAGTCCCCAATACAGCTTTTCCCTCCTCCACTGGGTGCAGGATTATTACAGACCCGGTTCCGGACTCTTCGTCCCGAGGTTCCCCGACAGATGCTCCAGGATGACCAGCAACTCCAGCTGCCATGAACAACTCCTTCAATCATAAGAAGTTGACTGAGATATACAGAAATCTAGAGTAGGATTACTCATAAATACCGATTAAGTCTGATGGCTCATACAAATTGGTTGCACATACAATCTAACTTGTTTAGTTACCATCCTTTCAGAACCATTTATGAAGAAAAACATAACAAGAGATAGGGCAAAAGACCTCCATAGTGTAGTAAGTTATAAGGAAGTTTATTCAAATAAAAAAACTCAATTGCGCCCACAAGAGAAAAAAGCCACCAGGGAGAAAAGATACTGAAGCAGTGAGGGATCAGGAGACCAGGAGTAAGTCTGTAGGTACGTTGTCATGCTCTACTCATCCAGGTTATGTCAGCAGGTCAGAACAAGTTCCCAGGATAGAAAATAGAGTTTCCCCATCATCAGCCTCTAGACTTCTATTTCCTATCCCCAAAATGCATTCTAACCTGCTGATGTCACCTAGATGAGCGAAGCTTGACAATGAGACTTACTCGTGGTCTTCTGATCCCTCAGTGTCCCAGCATCCTTTCTCTCTGGCAGTTATCTGCTCCCTCTGCCTGTGGCCAGGACATGAAGTAGAAGCTGGAAGACTCGTTCCTTTTCCATAGTGCAGGCTGTAACTGCTCTAGAACCCCCAGTTCTCTCTGACTGCTATTGAATTTTATGCACTATGGTGGTCTTTTGTGCCGTCTCTTACGTTTTCTTTAGTTCACGCTGGAGTTCCCACTCCTCTCCTGATTCAGCTGGCTGCATGATCTCCAATTTAGTTGTTGTTGATTATTTGTTTATACATATAAGACTACCTCTGTCTTTTTTTATGTATATATTTAATACATGCACTTTGTATTTCCTGCTAATTTTAAACATTTTATCAACTTATATTTTACTATGTACTTGCTTTCCTGTGCACTAGGAACACATTATTGTTTTTTTCACTTAACCGCTAACTCTTAGACAATCATACTGTATGTACGACCGTCTTAGAATATAGCGTAGCAATTGTATCACATCTCAGTAATAGTTTGGTAGACTTCCTAAAGCGACACTAAACTAAGGACTTAAATATTCAAAATGCATTCAGGTAGATTAACTATTAACGAAAATGTATCTTATTTGTGTATCACTCTATCACTCATCTGTAGATCCTCAAATCATCTCTGAGACTACTACTACTACTACAACAACAACACACACAGGGACCATGGGGAACAAACGTAGCTACCCTCCAGAAGGAAGGACAGTGTCAGCACCAATACAGAGATGATTTGAGGATCTACAGCCAAGTAATACACGAATAAGATACATTTTGGTTAATAGTGAAGATACATGAATGCATTTTCAAGATTTAACTCCTGAGTTTAGTGTCACTTTAAATGGAAATTGTTAAATTCTGATTGTGCTGATGCATGTTTCCTTGCTGTCGTGCTGATAATATTCCTGATTTTCACATTTGTTAGGGGTCAATGACTTACAAAGTACTGAAAAAAGAGGTTAAACCATAAACAGGCAACAAGTTTTTTCAGGCAGCCAGCAATGGCAGCCCCTAGAATTCAAGTTCAGTTTAACATTTGAAACACAGATTTTCAATGAACTGTACCATAGGAAACCCACAGCTAGCAGTAATTGGAATGCCTCTGCATCCTGAAATTCTAGGGATGCACCGATACCGATACAAGCATCGGTATCGGTGGCGATACCGAGTATTTGCAGTACTCGTGCAAATACTCCGATACAAAAAACGAGTACCTGTGCCGCGTCCTCCATCTTCAGGCACCCGAATCCGCCGCACACAGGACCTCCATCGCGTCTTCAATGAAGCAAGATGGCCGCGAACTCCTCCTCCAAGTCCTCAGTCATCTGCTCCATTCTGACCTCTTCTCCCGCTGATTGGCCGATTGGATGATTGACAGGCTTCCTCACCAGTCAGGAGTGACTGGTGAGGAAGCCAGCGGGAGAAGAGGTCAGAATGGAGCAGATGTCACAGCCTAATCATCTGCTCCATTCTGATCTCTTCTCCTGCTGATTGGCCGATTGGATGATTGACCGGCTTCCTCACCAGTCAGGATTGACCGGCTTCCTCACCAGTCACCAGTCTATTCTTATTCTGATGACAACCCAAAATTTGGGATTACCTTTCACTTTAAGCTATAAGCGTCATTAGGACAATTAGAGAGGGTGAATCTCCCTAATGAGGTCACAAACAGAAATAAAAACCTGACAGGTGTTTCAATCCTTCTGCACACTATCCAAAGCCAAAAATTATGTTTTGGGTTTAGTTGCATGTAATTATAGCCATAGAAATAGGAAAGAGCAAGTAGTGGCTCCACACTTTATTTCCATACCTGGGCTTTCATCTGTTGCAGTCCCATATTGACAGGCCTTTCCATACGTGTTCATCTTACAGTAACATTCACACTCTCTTCCCTTGGTGACAGGTTGTCCATTGTTTTGACATGGCTTGCACCGACATGGATGTGCTTCACCGATGTATTCCTCAATGGCTCGTTTCAAGTAGATCCGTTTAGCTGATGCACACGGCACTTCTTTTACCAGCTCGTACAAGGGGGTCAGCTTAAAAATAAAGAAGTAAAATTCTGTGCATGTTCTCATTCTTGCGTACCTCGTTATTATTGTAATACTGTATGTAAGCACAACTCCAACCAAAACATTATTTAGTTTTGTATAGATCAGGGAAGTGTTAGGACCTCTTTTAGTTTTTTTTTTTATTGCCAGGCAGTATAGAAGGAGAGCATGCCAAACCATGAATTTAGAGTCCAAGTTTAGGTATTTAATTATATAATTATATAATATATAAGTACATGCATTACATACTACTGACCTCTGCACTCTGTGCATTACTTACTCCCGACCTCTGTTTTCTGAACATTACTAAATACTGACACCTGTACTCTGCATCACATACTACTGACCCCTGCACTCTGTGAGTTACATACTACTGGCCCCTGCACTCTGTGCATTTCGTACTCCTGACCACTGCACTCTCTACGTTACTAACTACTAACACCTGCACAGTGGCGTAACCAGAGTTATGGGCGCCCGGGGCAGACATTAGCCCCCTCCATACACACATATCACCCAGGGAACGGCAATATCGTAGCGGGGAAGGCGGCTGTGCATTTTGCATCACTCCCGCTACACTAAAAGCGTATCTTCTTAGAAGCTGCACACTGCGCGCGCCGGTTTAAGTAGTAACCAGCACACGCTGTATGCAACTTCTAACAGCATGGGAGACGGGAGGCTGCGATTGTTGGATCCAAGAATCAGGTGAGTAGTATAAAAAAAAAAAAAGTTTTATTTTATGTTCCCAGGGACATTTAAAAAGGTAAAAACCCCGGTTGTTACGCCACTGCACCTGCACTCTGTGAGTTACACACTGTGCATTACTAACTACTGACCTCTGCGCTCTCTGCAATAAATACTCTTGATTTCTGCACTATGTTCATTACTTACTCCTAATCTTTGCACTCTGAACATTACTAACTATTGACACCTGCACTCTGTGAGTTACATACATACTCTGCATGTTACTTACTCCTGACCTCTGCACATTGTATATTACTTACTCCTAACTAGGGATGCACCGATACCAAGTACAGTACTCGGTACAAGTACATGTACAGATAATTTTCCAGCTCCAAGACTAGACTAGAGAAAAGTTCAAAAGTTAGGAGGCAGCTGTCATTTGTAAGGAGCACGTGGAGCTCCTGGTATTTGTACATCTCTGCTTTAATGTATGATTTTGTTTTTATAAATATAAATAAAGGGGTGCACCGATACCAGTTTTGCGAGTACAAGTACTGGTACTTGCCCAAGTACTCGCAGATACAGGTACTGATACATTTTTGTTTATTGTCATGTGACAGTTTTTCTAAAACAATATCGACTAATGAATTCAGGACCATTGGGGAGCGCCAGAGCCCGGTCCCAGCTGCAACCGCTGCCACCCTGGTAGTTCTCATGAAAGTGCCAAGTATCGGCATTGGTACTCGAAAAATATCGGTGCATCCCTACTCCTAACCTTTGCAAATTATACGTTACTCCTGACCCCTGAACTCTGTTACATATTACTGACCCCTGCACTGTGTGCATTACTTAATACTGGTCTCTGCACTCTGTGTGTTACTTAGTACTGACCTCTGCACTCTGTGCGTTACTTACTCCTGTCCTGTCATTTTTACTTACTAATTACCCCTGCACTCTGTGTTACTTACTACTAACCTCTATACTCTGTGTGTTACTTGCTTCTGCTCCCTTCCATCAACCATGATCTACCTGCATTGCACAGATAAGCACAGAGACCCAAGATGACACAGTTGTCTGAAACATCTTTGTATGCTGTAGCATTAACAGTACCGTTCACTGGAAACCTGAACTCAAAAATTAAGAGGGCTGTCCACATACTTTGCCCATACAGTATATACTATGTCCAGTGGTGATGTGGCAGCTGGCAGGAGGTACCACAGCACCCATCAGGGGACACACGATCTAACACACACAAACGTGTTAGGTAGCAGCGTTGCTCATATCTCTGCAATAATGCAAAGAATGGACTCACTGCCAGATAGAAAGGTAAATAAATGTGTGTTAACATTCAGCTTTTGCTTTACATCCTTAGGTAGTGCTGGACAATAACTAGCTTACTGCAATGTACTGAGATTGTTTTTACATTTTGCCTACACAACCCTTTAAGGATTTGCTGCTATTTTTATTTTTAACGATTAACCAAGGAATCCATCGCCTTGCAGTGTCTCACTTTGCTGTGATTGTCCTTAAAAAGGAAGCTGACAATCATATCTGCCTTCCACAGATGAACTCACCAGCACCATATGTCAAGACAGATGCACCAAAATACAAGATGACAAATTTGAGAACAATTTTCCAGCAAGTGAAGACAAAGTCACAGCTACATATCTAAACCCTTTTTAAATATAGCAAACATACACAGTAGTTCAGTGGGATAGATACAGGAATTAAAGAAGGTACAGCTTTGTTCATGGGACCTGGGGGTCCTTGCTGTTACCTATAGATGTGCGCTATTAAATGTGACAGGGTGGCAATGTGTATTGTAACTTTAGGATAAATTGTGAGCTAAGGGCCGGTGCAGACCTAGGCGACACCTCACCGCGCGTCAATCATGCACGCTTGCCACGCGGATTGTCGCGCTGTCAGGAGTCGCCTAGGTGTGCGCCGATCGCGCTGTGGGTGCCATTATTTTCTAATGGCAGCCCAGTCCCGCCGGGCGGGTCGCGCCGTTTCCCACTGCGATTTCGCCTGTGCTTCGAAAAACAGCCGCATGTATCTTTTTCCTGTGATTGCCGCGTGGATGTCACCCCATTGAAACCAAAGGGGCTACGCGGCAATTGCGGCCTGCGTTGTGCAGGACCCCGCGATCCCGGATCGCATAGGCCTGCACCAGGCCTCAGTTTTCTCACTCAACATCAATGCCTGACCTCACAAATTTTATTTTGGCTGAAAAGGCACAAATTCCAAAAGGCACACTCCAAAATCTTGTGGAAAGCCTTCTCAGAACAGAAGAGGATGTTCAAGTGATATCAAATCTTCAATTTTGTTTTCATTTTATGGATAGGTGGCCACACTTGCATAATTCTTTTTTTAAATTGTGTATTTCCTCATTCACTAGTTGGTCCCCAAAATGCTCTCCCACCCCTGCCTGTTTGTGGGGTCTCCATCAGCTAGCTGTGTTGTATAGATTTATCTCCTGAACTCCTTACAGCGTCCAGAAACAGTAGTCAATGTGGTGCTCGCAGTGATAAACACGGATGGCACTGTATATTTTCAAGTTCAGAGAAATGGAAAATCACCAGCACTCAGAAAATATTGTTTTTAGATCATGGTGTTCATTTATTGATGTCACATGTCATATCAGAAAAGCCAACGTTTTGTGGCCACGCAGGGTCCCTTCATCACGGGGAACATAATGACAATGATGCAACATGTAATACACATATACATACCCTAAACCTCATCACAAGATCTCAAGACACCTCCCCATGACGCAGTGGCGGACCTGAAGAACAAAGGGCCTGGTGCAGGATTTCCCCCCCCCAAAAAAAAAACACACCATAGCATTGCTGTATAAAGTACTGCTGAGATTTGTAGTCCTCTATCGAGGGTGTTATTCTGCATTGCTGCAATGCAGAATGGCACCTGCTATAGAGCACTACAAACACCAGCTGTACTTTATAAAGCATGTCCATCAGTTAGGCTGAAAATAAAAATAATTTTCATGAATTATTTACCTTCACCTCTTCTGGCGGGTCTTCAACTGTTTCCTGGTGGGAGAAGCTGCAGAAAAACAGTGTCTGTGGGAGACAGCAGCGCTCTTGTGCTCAGGAGGCTGCTTGCCGGGTTCTCACGGGCGAGGCCCCATCGCTGCCCCATGATGTGCCTGCAGGCTTCTTCGTTCCCCGGCTCCCTCCTCAGTTTCAAACGGCCCGGCGGGCCCCATCATCTCTTCACCAGGAGTGTCGGGATCGGTATCCGGCGGCCGGCGGGCCCCCCCATCTCTGCGCCGGGAGTGTTGGATGATCAGATGTCTCGACACTCCCGGCGCAGAGATGGGGGGCCCGCCGGATACCGATATTGGCTGCACCTGCGGTAGTTCCACCCCTGCCATGACGTCATAGTGATGTCAGAGCCCATCAGCTAGCTGGCTGCTGAGGAGACACCCATGTGTGCTCATTCCCAGCTGTGCCCGTGCCTAGCTGTGTGTATCCATAGCCATGCCCCTGCTCCCTCCATCCTTCACCTCCCAAAAGATTAACTGATGGCAGAAGGAGCTTATGGCTCCTCTGCCCTCAGTACCCTCCCCCCGGACCAGGAAGTTTGGAAGAATGCTGAGTATCTTCCCAGAACCAGCAGAGGGGTCAAGTGAACACAGGCAAGTGTGAGGGGAACAGGGGAACATAGAAAGGGTCTGTGCATTTTTTACCTTAATGCAGAGAATGCATTAACGTAAAAAATAAATGCCTAGCCTTTAGTACTACTTTCAAGCATCAAAGGGGACACCTGCTTCTTCTTATTGTCCATGGTTTGAAATGGAATGTCCAGAGAGCTCATATAGTGTGTGATGATCAGGCGTCCACAAAAGGCGGTATAGTCTTTGTAAACAGCCTAGAATTTAAAAATGTGGCCCACTGGCATAACTAATAACTACATTAATGAGTATTATTGTAAAGTCCTTCAATGTGGAACTTTTACATGTTTTACATAACACTCGTTTTCAGTAATTAATCTAACTAAAATTAATTTGACATTGATTTTAAATGTGAACATTTGTCATGTCATATTTTAATGATCCTATTTTATTATAGAAAAACTTGCTTCATTTTGTGGCCATCTGTTGGTCAGGGAGTGCTCTCTGCAAAATTGCTAATTAGCTACTGTGAGAAAATGTATTACAGAATACGCCTTCTAAAAAAGTTTTGTATTCCAGAACCCGTAAAAACCATGCTTGGAAAATGTTTTGCTTAAGGAGATTCACCTGCACATTGGATTGAATAAATATGAGCTGTACACAGACTGGCACT